CCTCGTCACTGCTTTCTTATATCATTTAATCAGTTTATTGCCTCAGAAACAAAATCCAATTCTATAGTCAAACTCTCATATATTTTCAGTCTATTCTTTGACGTCAAGCAACATTTAGTCAGTTTCGTCACGCTTGTAAAACCCATCCTACGATCCGGCTCTCGATTTTCGTTTGTTTTTCATAGTTTTGGTACAACACTGTGTTACTTTAACCTCACTGACACAACTCAACTCTCTTTATAGCTTGATTTTCGTTTGTTTTTCATTGATCTCGGACAATGCTCTGGTTGAAGGGGGTATTGTAGGTGTTGGAGGGATGTGGTTGTAGGGGCTAGAGGGGTGATGGAGGGATGTGGTTGTAGGGGTTAGAGGGGTGATGGAGGGATGTGGTTGTAGGGGCTAGAGGGGTGATGGAGGGATGTGGTTGTAGGGGTTAGTTAGAAGAGTGATGGAGGGATGTGGTCAAAGAAGGCGGCAGGTAGGTGGTAGAAAGATGTGGTGAGAAGCAAGTCACGCGTTTGCTTGGAGGATGTGGTCGGCAGGGTCACGTGTATAGTTCAAAGGTGTGTCACTGAGAGGAGTCACGTGTGGCGTGGATGAAGACTGAGTCAGCAGGTGAGAGACAGGTGTGAGGGAAGAAGGAGGGGGAAGGGAGAGGGAAAAGAGAGAAGGAGAGGAAGATGGGGAAGGGGGAGAGGAGGGGATAGGATAGGGAGGGAAGAAGGAGGGGGAAGGGAGAGGGAAAAGAGAGAAGGAGAGGAAGATGGGGAAGGGGGAGAGGAGGGGATAGGATAGGTGAAGAAGATGGGAGGGGAAAGGAGGGGCGGGGGGGGGTAGGAGGGGGAAGGGGTGCAACGGGAGCCTCAGTTGCTAAGCCAGGTAAGGTGTCTGTCTGGTCGTGGTACCGGTGAAATATTGCACCAAGGAGCTGATAGTGCTGCTGGGGCCAGGACTTGACTCGCCTTTTGAAGATTCAAGTGAAATTATTTCTGTCTGTCTGTCTGTCTTTCTATTCATCTATCCACCTATGCATATGTCTATTATCTATCCAATTATGTATCTGTATATTCATTTATTCATCCACCCATGTCTATCTCTCCCTCCATCCATCTATCCATCCATCCATCCATCCATCCATCCATCCATCCATCCATCTCACTCAGATCCACAATATCACGGAATAACTAACAAAACTGTTCCTCCTGTCTGTTGACGTAGGTGTGAGGTGACGTAGGGATTCTCTCTCCTACCTGACTTAGTGACAGAGAGAGAGAGAGAGAGAGAGAGAGAGAGAGAGAGAGAGAGAGAGAGAGTCTATTTTACCTGTGTATTATTTCAGGTTCTGTTACAAGTCTAGGTACACACACAATTAACAGGTAGAGGTACAGGTAAAGGTATAAATAGCAATACAGGTATAAGTACAAATACGGTACGGGTACAAATATACTGTAGGTACGGGAAGAGATGACGGTACAATTAACGAATCGGTATTACACTGTTATATATATCTGTATTATTTCTCGTCTACATGAATCGCTGTTACCAAGCACCGAAGACGGACCAATCACAGTCCATAACGAAGACTTATAGGATCCAAGCCACCAATCAGAGATCAATGAAAGAGGGTACAGACCAATCACAGGCCTCGATGGAAGTTTAGGGGATTTTTAGTCCACCAGTCACAGTCCGTGTAGGAAGGACTTGGAAGAAGGCGAGAGAAGAGGGAAAGGAAGGGATAGAGAGGGATAGGAGAGTGGAAGGGGGAGACTGGATAGGGGACGAGGAGATGGATAAGAAGGGGAAGGAAAAGGAGAGGAGAGGATAAACAAGAAGGGAGATCGAGAGAAGATGAAGGATAGAGGGTGTAAAGGATGGAGAATAGGCAAGTTGGTGAAAGGGGGAGAGGGAGAAGGATGAGAAAGAGGATGAGAGCGGGAGAGCTGGAAGGAAGGAGAGGGTAGAAGGAAGGGGGGGAGTGAAGGGAAGGGGGGAAAGGTCGGAGGAAGGAGGAGTAGAAGGAAGGGGGAAGGTCGGAGGAAGGAGGTAGAAGGAGGGGAAAGGTCAGGGGGAGAATCGGAGGAAGGAAGGTAGAAGGGAGTGGAAGGATATGTAGTGAGGGAGGGGGAGGGTGAGGGAGGGAGGGTGACAGAAATGGGGGTGGAAAGGTGCGAGGAGGGGGTGGGAGGAAAGGAGGCACAAAGAGGGAGAAAGAAGAGGGCAAGGCAGGGAGGGAAAGGAGGAGGGGGGCATGAGCTTGATGAAAGGAGGAGGGGTTGCATGTGGACGGGAAGGAGGGGGAAGGAGGGAGGAAGGGAAGGGGGGGGGAAGAGGGAGGGAGGGAGCAAAAATGGCGGAGTGGAGGAAGGGGGAGGCTGTTGCTGGGAGTAAAGTTAGGGAGGAGCCGTGAGATTAGATTAAAAGCAGAAAGGAGGGAGAGGGAGGGAGGGAGGGAGGGAGGGAGGGAGGGAGGGAGGGAGGGAGATGCAGGTGTGGAGGGAGGGAGGGAGGAAGGGCCCCACAACCATCACAGAGACACCGCTGATACACACACACTAAGGGCCAGTGTTGTGTCATTTTCCCATTACAGATAAAAACACCGACCTCCGACACCGCCACTACTGCGCATTTCCGCCGGCCGCCTAAGGTTAAGTGTTGCGTCCGGCGGTACACAGTTTTGACCCAGAAGACTTAAATTAACGTCAGTAAGAGATGTAAAAAAAAAATTAAAAAAGGAATGATTTTGACTTTTAATATAAGATAGCAGAAACAGTAACTCCAAAACTAATTTCATATCAATGTTATTTTGGGTAAATGTCCACATGATGTTTAAATAACTCGAATTTTTATTAAATATATATTTTTTTTTTCGGGCACACCTGTAGTTATATTACAAGATGTTCTAAATAATGACACGTGGAGAAAATAGGTCCACAGGTGTCAGAGTTAAGCACTATTTAGCCCCTTGAGTACGATGACTTAACCCCTTCAATACGATGACTTAACCCCTTGAGTACGATCATTTAACCCCATGAGTACCATAACAAACCCTTTCAGTACTCAAAGGGGGATTAATCATCTTACTCAAAAGGTTAAATCATCTTACTCAAGGGCTTAAATCATCGTACTCAAGGGCTTAAATCATCGTACAAGGGATTAAATCATCGTACTCAAGGGCTTAAATCAATGAACTCAAGGGCTTAAATCATCGTACCCAAGGGATTAAATCATCGTACTCAAGGGGTTAAATCAATGAACTCAAGGGATTAAGAACAAGTGACAAAACCCTCCCTAAAATGTTCCTATAAAGATCCCACAGCACTGAGATTCACCAACAAAATATAAGGTATCCATTACTTTGTTACCTTCATTAACAGAAGTTTCCTGGAACCGTAGACAATAAATGCGGTCAGCACGTAAACAGAGGAACACCCCAACAGAATGCTGGGGAAGAGAAAGCTTAATATCCCACACCCACACCCACACACACCCACACCCACACACACGTATTTACCTTGACTGCCATGTCTTTCTGTTATATAGGGAGGAAACGCTGCTCTAAGAAACCATTTAATTTAGGTAGAATTTGAAGTCATTTGTCCAGGGAACTACACTTCAATGTTTATACTCCTCGTGACGCCATTAGCTACCTGAACACGTGAGATGCGTCATGTGGGATAAAATTTCCTCATTATATATTAACAAAAAGTGGAGGTTTGTTTGATGATTTGTTTTGTTGTAGTGAAGATCTGTCAGTAACGTCCTAGTTGTAAGGAATGAGGGTGGATGACAGGTATGTTTACCTTGTAGAGTGGACAATGAAGACCAGGTGAGATAAAAGTACAGGTATTCAGGCAGATTTTAGACGTCAATCACAGTGTTAAGCACAGGATCATTTCACCTGTATATGTTGCGGGTTTTTTTTGCGGAATCGGTTATTTTGCAAAATAACTTACGAACAGACAACCTAAACTAGCCTTACCTTATGGTTAGGACAACACGTAGTCCAAAGTTAAGAAAAAAGAACAGGCCCACTTAACTATGTATCAAGGTACTCGAGCCATCCTAACCTAACCTAACCTTATTCAACCATAAGGTTAGGTTAGTTTAGGTTGTCTGTTTGTAAGTTATTTTGCAAAATTACATCCTTGACCACCGAAGGGTCAAGACGTACCTGGCGCTGCTCTGGCAGCAGCCAGGTCAACTGTTAAGTTGGCCCATACCAACTCCCTCCCCTGAACCCTCCTCCCCACCGGAATATCAACAAGTTCTCGCCAGAGGTTGCTATTTCATTTAGGAAAGGAATGGAACCAGTGCTGAATAGTGGTGAACAGTGCTTAAGTCAGTGAGAACAACTCAACAGTAACAGCCGAGTCATACCCAAGCTAACCTTCACACAGTGAAGTCCCAGACTCCCAGGTACCCAGTGATAACTGCCCGTGATACCCAACAACAACCAGCGATGTGTTAATCCGTCTACGATAGGAAGGCCTGGGACCACACCTCACTCATATAAAACCATCTGTGAGGGAATTACTACACCACGTCAGGTCCCTCATAACACCATCTGTGAAGGAACTACTACACCACGTGAGGTTCCTCCTAACACCATCTGGGAGGGAGTTACTACACTACGTGTTTGCTGTTCAACACCTACATTAATCTGTATGTTCACTGTATGTTCCTTTACCTTTCTCTAATGAAGGCTTTTGTTTAACCACCAATGTATGTAATAAGTCATTTATGTCCAATGTATATTTTCAACCTTCGGAGTGCAGAACTTTTTCAATAAACCGTTAATTATTATTATTATTATTATTATTATCATTATTATTATTATTACCCACCCACACCCACCAGGATGTCGCCTTTCCTCCTCCTCCCTCTTTAATCACTGCCAATGACATAAACTCTTACCTCCGTGAGTCTAAACTTGGCCAATATAACTCATAAGATTCATTCATGCATGAGCCGGACCCCTCCCACCCACCCAGTCAACTCACCTTCCAACCTGCCATGCATTCAAATATTAGTATGACCTCAAATTTGGATCCGTTCTCCTTGTGATGATCTAACCTTGCAGTAATGACTCACAGGTGACGACAGACATTCATTAACAAGCAAGAATTACTTCCTGTGATTGGCTACAACACCACTCTAACTACTCTGTCATGATCGAACGTAATGTGCTTCATGGTAGAAGATCTTTTGGTTCTGTTGTATAATCTGATCGTCCTCACAGGCCTGCCTCAGTGACCACCAATACCAACAGTGATCTTTGGGTGCACCGCCAGGCCAATCATTACCACGAGTCAACACTGCCGTCCATAATTTGCTCTTAATTGATGGGGATAATTGTCAATAGTGTATCATTAAGAGCCGCCGTACTGTCCTACACCACCACAACACCACCTCTACCACCACTACCACTACCACTACCACCACTACCACTACCACTCCCCTCGTGTCTAGTGATAATTCTAGGGTTTGTTTCTTGGTTATCTTCTGTCAGGTGAGGTGGCAACTCCTAAAATCCACCTCCCCCGTCTATCCTTACCACCTCCTCGCCTTACCTAGTGTCGAACTTACCTCTCCTCGTCTCTCCTCACTTCTCCTCGTCTCTATCTCACCTCTCCTTGCCTCTCCTCGCCCCCGGCACTTTCAGCAGGTGTAGAAAAAATTGTATATTTCTGAGTCCAGGTAAATATTAGTGACGTCAGGGATGAGGTGTGACACAGGTACCAAATTAATGAAGCTTTCTTGGACCAGTTGGACACCTGGTCAACTTGATACAATGATCCAGCCACAGCAGACCAACCACAGCAGACCACCCACAGCAGACCACCCACAGCACACCTGGCAGTGGAGGTGATGGACCAGCAAAGATCCTTCACAGCTCGTCCTGGGATCCTTCTGGGAGTCCTTTGACGCTCACCCAGCTCCAGTCGACCTTGTATCCGAAGGAAGGGACGCAGGAGGAGGAGAGGGGTATCCCCAGGGGACGCCACCAGACTTACTTTACGGTCACTCATGAGTTGCCTTAGCACCCCTCACCACTCACACCTCACCATTGAACCCTTACCACTCACTGCACACACCTCACCACTTACCCTTCACCCCACTCACCACACACTCCTCAACCCTCACCCCACTCACTCTTCGTTCCTCACACCTCACCCACACCACTCACACCACTCTACTGGGCCAATAACCACAACACAAACTCCTGAATACGATATATAGTAATTAGCCATTGCAAGAGTACGTTAGCAGAGTGCCATTGAGTACAGACACGATCACCTCCTGAGTACAAACATCAAAGCAATTAGGAGATTATTACTATACGTGTTGAATTAGACGACAAATTACTCTTAACACCTTTGGAAGTTCCTCCGCCCCTTGGCCTTTGTAACGCACCATGGGACAGGTGTGTATGGCCTCACCTGGACATCGTGGCACTGTGAATATCAGGGACGGTAAATTTGGCACCTTTGATTTCTTTTAACCCCTGACGTCATTACCCTACATCTGACCTTCCTGATGTCATAAACTGCTCTTGTTAATATCACAGGTGAGGTTAATTATGGACTGCAGGTGACGTAGTAATTTCATTTTGGGGGGCTTACCTTTGAAAGATGTTTCTGTCTATCTGTCTTTCACTTATTATCTAAAACTATGGTTGATGACGAAGCAATTTAATTTTTGTTTACGTATTAAAGATGTGTCTGTCTGTCTGTTTGTCTCTTAGTATCTATATTTTTCATCTTCTAACCATTGAAACTCGTATTACTACACACTTAACCACACCTAAGCTAACCTAACCTAACCTAACCTAACCTAACCTAACCTAACCTAACGCCACAAGCCCCCACTGTTATTCCCCAGAGCTCTTGGTGACGTCAGATCCATCACCTTCAAGATTGATTTTGTTCTATCCTTCCTTCACACCGTGTTGAAGCTTACTGTACAGAGGCTGACACTTACTAAGCTGGCACCTAGGCTAACAGTGATTATGGGACGCGTAGAGCTGACAGTTACCACGTTGAGATAATGCTGGGGATGTCTCTTTGATACTAAGCTGTCAGGGTTACGTCTAGAGCTGACAGTTATGTGGCGGTTGTACCTAATTATTTCTAAGCTGACACACACACACACATATGCTGACAGTTATTACAGGGGTAAACCTCTTTCCTCCTCATACACTTTACAGTAATCCACGAACATCAGTATGACCACCAGCCTACACCACCAGCCTACACCACCAGCCTACACCACCAGCAGCCTACACCACCAGCCTACACCACCAGCCTATACCACCACACCTACACCACCAGCCTACACCACCAGCCTACACCACCACACCTACACCACCAGCCTACACCACCACACCTACACCACCAGCCTACACCACCACACCTACACCACCAGCCTACACCACCAGCCTACACCACCAGCCTGCCACCACACCACACCACCAGCCCTACACCACCAGCCTACCACCAGCCTACACCACCAGCCCACCACCACCACCTACACCACCAGCCTACCACCAGCCTACACCAGCACCACCAGCCCTACCACCACCACCAGCAGACAGGTGCCTGTTGGTTATACCTAAAAGTCACAAGGAGTCCCCAGACTTGCAGGGGAGGTGTGTGTTGAGATGGTGCTACTATGTGTGCTATATTCCATACAGGTGGAGCAGTCTGATGTGTTAAGGGATAGTGTAGAAGGAATGACCGAGGTAAGGTGGTCAGAATTGTTATGCAATAAGTAGGTGGATGACACGCCATCAATGTAAGAGTCTGGGGCCCATCTGGGTAAACATCACATTTTCGTTCTTCTGAGGAAGGCCAATTCATGTATATGTTTTTACCAGTATGTTTTATATGAATAAATCAATTAAGAGATGTTATGGTTTCACCTTCTTCCCCTTATCGATCTGGTCAAGGAAAACCTAGCCCAATGCCCAGTCCACTCTGCACGCTACCCAACGAGCTACATACTGTCCAGAGGGGTCTGGTGGCAGCGACCCTAAATTAAGATTAGAGTTAAGTATTTACCCCATTATTAACGACCCAAAATCTGGCAGTGAAGTTGTCAAATCTCCAGTTTCCGTCTCCACCTCCTCCGCGGACTCAAGTCCCTCAGGTTCTCGCACCTGAGCTCCTCAGTGTTTACACAACATTCATACTTCCAAGCTCACCTATGCCTCCCCCACCTGGTCTTCCCTAAATGCCACACAACGTAAACACCTAGAAAAAGTGCAAAAGAGGGCATGCAAGATTATTCTCTCCTTCCTACTCCACATATCAAGAAGCGCTCAACACTGACCCTTTCGACTCTCATTGACCATCACCACGACCTCATCTGCAAATTTGGTAAGAAGTTTACACCATCTCGACACCGGCTCACTACCACCTGAGATCCCTAGCCCGAGAATTGCTGTTCGACACCACAACCGCATCCAGCCCATACGTGCATGAACTGATCGCTATAAGAACAGCCCAGTCCCAACCATTGTAAAAAATAATAACTTGTAATAAACCAGTGTATTCACCCAGTAAACACTACTCCTTGCACTGTCACTATGTTGAAATGAACTGTAGTTTGAGCTTTTCCCCATCTAGTTATTATATGTCTTATTTGTATCACTTATGTTACTTGTATATTATTTGTAATTCGAAACCCATTCCCCAAATATGTAACTGTATATTTTCAACCTTCTGGCTGCCAAGCTCTTTCAATAAACCGTTAATTATTATTATTATTATTATTATTAGCCTACACCACCAGCCTACACCACCACCACCCTACACCACCACCCTACACCACCAGCCTACACCACCACCCTACACCACCCAACACCCACACCACTACTCACACTATCACCCTACACCACCAACCTTTACACCACCACACCACCCTACACCACCAACACCCTACACCACCACCCTACACCACCAACACCCACCATTATTCACAACGTTACCCAACACCCGTCCAAACAACGCCATTTACACCCACCATAACAACCCATTCAGTAATTTTGCATTAACTATCTGGGTTATTGGGTTAGGCAGTACACCACAGTCCTATAACATTAACGACCACACAAGAGGAACCTGTAGAAATGAGAGGTCGTGGGTCGTGTTCCCCCCTCATATAGCACAGCGACAAGTACCCAACATTATACAGGGTGACTTTGATAGTACAGAGACGATGGTTGTATCTGTCGAGGACAGTTATATTGTATATATTTAGAGATGAATGAGCTAATGACGTTCTTCAGGGAGAGGGAGGGAGGAAGAGGAGGAGGAAGGAGGGAGGAAAAGGGGGCGGGAGGAGGAGGGAAGGAGGGAGGAGGGAGGAGGGTAATCTGAGACACTTAGGGTGAGGTGTTGATGAGGAGGTGTACTGAGGACGTTAGGGGAAGGAGGGGAGGTTAGGGGGAGGAGGAGGGTTGGGGTGAATCAGACAGGATGGAGGGGTGGAGGGGTAGGTTGGGGAAAGGGACTGATCATTATGGTTTGGAAGGTGAGAGGAGGAAGAGGAGGAGGAAGATGAGGAGGAGGAGGAGGAGGAGGAAGGAGGGAAGGGAAGGAGGAGGAGGAGGAGGAGGAGGAAGACCAAGGATGATCATTTGCGTCTGATAATGTTGTAGGAGCACTTGATTGGTCTTCCTTCCTTCCGTTTCTGATGTCAATTGGTTGGTAGGTGGGCGTGGCTGATGAGTGGGCGTGGCTTGATGAGTGGGCGTGGTCAGTGAGCGTGGCTGATGAGTGGGCGGCTGTACACGTAGGGTAGTAAATTCACCTATAATTGGCACCAGCAGATAATACCTGCAGGAAGGGGGATAAAGGGAGGTATAAAGAGGAAGGAGGGGTATAAAGAGAAGGGGGAAGAAGGGAGAGGATAAAGAGGAGGGGGCGATGGAGAAGATCAGTGACAAGGCAACAGCCAGACAAATGAAAAACAACAGCAAGAAAGAGTAAGAGAGCGAGAGGAAGA